TATTAGATAAGCTTATTAGTTGCATTTTTCAAATCTTCTATATTTTTATTGGTATGTTTTATGATTGACCTATTGCTTATTGATATAGATACATCAAAATCCCCATTATGGTAATTAACTTGTTGAATCTCCTTGCAGTCCTGGCAACTTGCACTTTAAGTATTTCAAAGCTGTGCTATGGGGCCCATAGAACTTTGAATTATTGAATCTTAATTTAGTTAATCTTCTATCAATATGTTTATTCTTATACCAGTAAAGCTTTTTGCTTTAAAATCTATTTTGCCTGATATGAACATAATCATGCTACCTTTGCATTGGTTAGTATTTGCTTAGTGTATATATATTTTTTTACATCCTTTGACTTTTTGTCTTTCTCTTTTTTAACAGCTTAGGTAGTGATGCCCTGGTACATGCTTAACAATTAGCTCTGGGGAGGAGGAGTGGAGTGGGATTTGTAGAATTTACTCATTTCTGTTGTGTCAATACTTCCACGTGGGTTGCAAGATAATATCCGGGACACCCAGTTAAATAAGAACATCAGATAAATAAGGAATAATTCTTGATATAAATATGCCCCAAATATTGCATGGAACATGCTTATTTTTAAAAAGTATTTGCTGTTTCTCTGAAACTCAAATTTAACTCGTTGTCCTGTATTTTTACTTGCTAAATCTGGCAACCCTACTCCACCAATATATCATTGAATGCAAAATTTGGAAGAGATTTTATCATCAACTTGTTTTAAAATAACTTTTATTAAGATATCATTCACATATTATACAATTCACCCATTTAAATGGATAGTTCATCAGTTTTAACATATTTGGACCTGTGCACCTGCCACCACTACAATCAATTTTCAAACATTTTCATCACCCCAAAATGAAACCTTGTCCTTAACAACATTCACTAACCTCCAGCCATCCGCCTGTCCCAGTCCTAGGCAACTGCTAATTTATTTTCCATCTTTATAGATTTGCCTCTTCTGGACATGTCACATAAATGGAATCATACAACATGCTTTGTGTATATGTATGCGTTTATAAGACTGTCTTCTTTCACTTAGTACATATTTTCAAGGTCCATATGTGTTGTATCATTGATCAGTACTTCATTTTCATTGTATTGCTGAATAATATTTCATTGTATGGATATACAACATTTATTTGTCCATTTATCAGTTGATGAACATTAATCAGTGTTCCATTTTGGGCCAATTATGAATAATGCTGCTGTAACAGTCTGCTCTTGTGAGCTGATAAAAGCAAGCACAAGACAGCTCTAATGCCTACCCTGGTTTTAGGTGGGTCTCTCAGAGACCGCATAGGGCCCTATATTATAATTGCCTAGTTGCCTGTCTCCTTCTAGCCAATCAGCTACACAAAGAGAGGGATTTTGCTCACTGCTGTACTTGTATTTCCTAATGCAGTTGCCTAATACTTGATGTTTATTGTAAGCATGAATGAAGTACAGTATGGTGGTCAGGAATGAAGAGTTTCTGAGTCATTTAAATCTCAGATATGCCACCTATGTAAATGTGGAAAAGATAACAAGTTACTCAACTTTTCCAAGACCTGTTTGTTTGTTTTTTTTTTCCTGGTAGGATGTGAAGGACATTCGCACCTCGTTTAATAGAATTTGGAGAGCATTCAGCATTTGCCTGGCATGTTTTCAATACTCAGTAATTTTCAATACTCAAATAGATACTATTACTTGTGTTAGACATTTATAACCCACGTGATTCTGTGATCTCCCAGTTCCTCAGCCACAATCATCCTGTGCACAAAATGTGACCTACTCTGGGGACTGCCTTTGGCTTTGTCATCACCAAAGCTACTTCATTGCAGACAAACTAAACTCCCAAATCCCACTCTCTGATAACAGCCTTACTCAAGGAAATTGCATAACCAACACTGAGATTGTTCTTTAAAAAAAAAAAAGGCCAATTTAGGAAGAAAATACTACCTAGTTGTTATATGCCTTTCTGTTCTGGTTAACAAGGTAGAATGTTTTCAGTATTTTGGAGATACACATTTATTTTGTGACTTTCATGTTTTTTGCCAATTTTCTACAAGTATGTTAATCTCTATCCTTTGGATTTGTAGGAGCTCTTTATAAATTAGCAATATTAATCCTTTGTCCAAGGTATATTTTATAGTTTATATTTTCCCAATTTTGCATTCATCTTTTAGCTTTTCATGGCACTTAAACATACAGAGTTTTTCTTATTTCTAGGAAGTCAAAAATATCAATATTTCCTATTAAAATTATATGATTTAGGATGTGAAATTCCCACATTATTTTACACTCTGCCCACCCTGTTAAAACCACCAGTAATGATTTAGTATATTCTCAAAACACATGTATTTATCTTCAATGTATATCACCAACTGTCTACTTTTTTTCTTTATTTTTTTAAAGATTTTATTTATTTATTCATGACAGACACAGAGAGAGAGAGAGGCAGAGACACAGGCAGAGGGAGAAGCAGGCTCCTTGCAGGGAGCCCGACGTGGGACTTGATCCCGGGGCTCCAGGATCACACCCCGGGCTGAAGGTGGAGCTAAACCTCTGAGCCACCAGGGCTGCCCTGTCTACTCTTTTTCATTTGTAATGCTGCCAACTGGTCCAGGCTTGCCTTTCTTCCTCTCCTTCCTCTCAAAATCATGTTCATATCACAGTCAGAATGGTCATATTTAAACATAAATGGCTTTTCTAAACATACACTAGCATATAGGTCATTAACATACAGTGCATACATACTATTCTCACTTAACAATTTATATTGAACTTCCCTGTCTCCAAATGTTGCATGGGACATACTTATGTTTTTTTTAAAAAAGGCTTCCTTGTTCATCTGAAATTCAAATTTAATTGGTCATTGTATTTTTATTTACTAAATCTCACAGCCCTAATCCTGTCATTGATCCAAGGTGGCTGTTCCAGCTCTAGTTTTCTTTCAACCACGGGAAGGAGGAACATGTCTCCAATTCTATTAAGGGCAGAACCTAGACATGTCACATATTTCACTTTTATCCCATGGTACCTAACTGAGTTACATGGTCTCACGGAGCTTCTAGGGAGGCTAGGAAATGTAGTATTTAGCTGGGCAGGTAGTCAGCCAGCTAAAACCCTATTTCCATGAAAGAACGGAAGAATGGCTATTACAAAACAGCTAGTGGTCTGACACAGATAACAGTCCCTTTCATCACCAGATACAGTCACTAGAGGTACCAAATCCACTTCCCCATTCCAATCAACGGATGGGCATATGACCCAAACTGGGCCAAATCTTGAGCAAAGTGATACACAGGCTTGAAATAATTCAAGTTCATTCATCCTGTTTGTAGTGACTTGAGGAATTTAAACATTATGGTTTTTTGTTACTCAGATCTCTACTAGAGTTTTCCTGGTTCCTGAGCTTGCCCTTAGTCAGCCTTCCTAGGTCCAGATTGTCCTTGGATGCTGTAAGATATCTTTTTTTTTTTAAGATTTTATTTATTTATTTGAGAGAGACAGAGGTAACGACAGGGAGCACAAGTAGGGAGGAGAGGGAGAAGCAGACTCCCCACTGAGCAGGGACCCATGCAGGGCTTGATCCCAGGACCCTAAGATCAGGACCTGAGCCAAAGACGTGCTTAACCGACTGAGCCACCCAGGCACCCCTGTAAGGTACCTTTTTTTTCCCCTTCAGTTATTGAAAATAAGTTTATGTGAGTTGCAATCCTAGAACTCCAACTGATCAAAGGTAAAGTCTGGATGTATTCCAAAGTGAGGAGATATAAAACCAGTTCCCCACCCCTGAGGATTTCTGCCTAAGCACATTTTCACTTCAGCATTGCAGTTTTCAGATTTAAAGATAACAAGGCAGTTATAATATCAAAGATAGTAACTCAGAGAACAGAGAAGTGAAAATTAAATCTAATTAAGCTAATATTAGCACTTTGTGCCTCCTTGCAGACATTACTCATTTCTCTAATACTTGCAACAACTCTGTGCTTTATTAAATTTTATATGTATTATCTCATTAAACCCTTTGCAGCAACAACAATAGGCATTACTATTATTCCCATTTTACAGATGGGGAAAATGGGGCTTAGAAAGTTAAGTGGCTTGCCTAACGTCACATAATTGGTAACAGCTGCAGCCAGTATTCAAAACTAAGTTTAACACCTACTCTTAAACTTTTTACCATTCTGCTACAACACAGACCTTAAAAAGTAAAAATAAAAATATTTGATATCTAAAGATCTTTTTAACTTAATTTTTAACATTTTATTATAATTTTTTTTAATTTTTAGTTTTTTAAAAAACGATTTATCTATTTATTTTAGAGAGAGAGTGTGCACAGGCAGGGGGAGGGACAGGGGAGGATGAGAGAGATAGAAGAAGACTTCCCACTGAGTGTGGAGCCCAATGTGAGGCTCTGCCCCGGGACCCCAAGATCATGACCTGAGCTGAAATCAGGAGTCAGATACCTAACTAACTGAGCCATGTAGGCACCCCATAGAAAGTTTTACAAAAATAGAATAGTATAATAAAGCATTAATGTACCAATCATCTAGCTTCAGGAATTGTTCCCATTTTACTATTTTTTCACTGATCCTTTTCTCAAATTCACACTTTATTTTCTTTTATCCTACAGTATTTAAAAATGAATCCCAGACATCATATCTCGTCACCTATAAATATCTTAGAATGTTTCTATAGTGCATGAGAACTTAAAAAAAATAATAGCATTATCAGGCCCTCCCAAATTCATAAAAGCTTCTCAATATATTTAATATCCAATGCAAGTTCAACTTTCCCTGATTGTCTCAGAAATGTCTTTTTACGGTTGTTCAAGTAAAAATTGAAGCACAGTGCACACGTTACATATCCAGGCATTCTCTTAGGTTTCTTTTAACTTATAACAATTCCTCTTCTTTTTTCTTTTACACCATGTGTTTGTTGAAGAAAAAAGGGATTTTGTCCTGTGGAATTTTTTTTGCTTCTTTTCACTTCAGATGGGTAAGGTGCCAATTATGTTGTGACAAGGTTTGAGCGAAGCACATCTCACATGGTGGCTGGATATGGAATCATGACACTTGTGAACAACAAAAGGTTCTGTCCTGTGGTGTTTCTAATATCCTGGAGTTGATGGATAGCAGCCCCCTGGTGTCATTAGCCAGTTTTCCATCTCCCATCTTTTTCATAATCTGCTAGTTAGTTCAAGAGGCTTGATTAAATTCAGGTTCAGAAATATTTTGTTGTTTTGGTAAGAATACTTTATAGGTGGTATAGTAGCTAACTTTTTAAATAAATGGTGTTATTGCTCTATTCAATGTGCTGAGTCAGTGATCATAAGCAGTAAACAGCTTTTCTTCTCCCACTTCTGCCTTCATTTTATTTTTAAAAAAATATTTATTTATTTTATATATATAAAGAGAAAGAGCACATGAGCAGGGGGAAGGAGAGAGAGAGAGAGAGAGAGAGAGAGAGAATCTCCAGCAGACACCCTGCTGAGTACAGAGCCCAAAGCAGGGCTCAATCTCACCACCCTGAGATCATGACCTGAGCCACCATCAAGAGGCAGATGTTTAGACAAGTGAGCCACCCAGCTACCCCATTTTATTTTATTTTTAACTTTTTAAGTTTTTAAAAGTAATCTCTACACCCAACATGGGACTTGAGCTTATAACCCCAGGATCAAGAGTCACACACTCTACTGACTGAGCCAGCCTGGCACCCCCTCCCACCTATGCCTTTAAACAAGATCTCCCTTCTCTGCCCCCAGTGACATTTCAGGCAGATCCCTTACCTTTAGGGTCCCTTTCAGATCAGGGAAGAGTCTTATTTTCAGCTATGGGAAATTCCAGTCCAATCTAAATTAACTTTAATTTTTCATCTAATTCAACTTTCCCTGTGTCTCTTATTATAGCATGGCCTGTCCTTTTATCTCATTTGGTAGACAGTCTCCATCTTGTCCCCTTGGTCCATGGAAAATGTTGCCCATTCTCACCCAGCTGAATGGTAGGACCCTCTGTCATCATCATCTAGCCACTAGGAGCAGTTCCAGCAGTCTCCAGTCTACTGTTTCTCCATACTCTTCAAACTCCAGGAGACCCTGGTCAAATTCTTCCCAGAACGCACTTGTCTTCCACTACAGTAGCAGCACAGGCCAAATATGCACATTCTTCCTGCTGGGCAAGCATCTGGCCAAGGAGTGAGAGTCCAGCTTTCCTTTCTGGCTAGTACTCCCAGTTCTCTGAAGAGCTCTCTCACTGTCTCCCTCTTTTGGCTCTGGTAGAGGAGCAATGTCCCATGTGCACAGGGAAGAAATGCTACTGTGCTGTCTCCTCTTGGGAAGTCCCCCCAAAGATGCATCTGCCCAACTGAATCTTTGGCCTTCTCTGCTAATGGCTGTGGGAGAGATGTTTGCTGGACTGGAATGTTCCTCTCATGAGACCCATGTATGTGTGTTGAGAACCCTTCTTTAAAATGTGGGGCTACCTCTCACTCATTATCCCCACCTCTGAGGCTGTATCTTCAATTCTTATCAACAGAAAAATATCTACATGCATGCAATCTATTAAGATTTACCCTCATCTTCACTTTATAAAGTAGTTTTCCTAAACGTATCATATAGAATTTCCTACTTTATTTTAAGCTAAATGATTTAGGGGTGCCAGGTGGCTCAGTTGGTTAAGCATCCAACTCTTCATTTCAGCTCAGGTCATGATCTTGAGGTTGTGAGATCAAGCCCGGTGTTGAGCTCCAGGCTGGGTGTGGAGTCTGCTTGAGACTCTTCCTCCCTCCTTTCCCACCCCCACCCCACCCCTCCTCTAAAAGAAATATAAAATGAAATGATTTAGATAAATTCTAACTTAAATAATATGCTCCATGATTATTTTTTTCATGTGTCAGTGGGATGTCGGTGAACATCAAGCCTAAGTGCTAACAAATGTTTATTTTCTGTCCTTACTCAAGAAGACCTGAATAGTATACTAAATATCAAAACAACAAAGCAAGGAAGGGGCAGCAACAGAGGATGAGGAACCAGATTGACCGTGATACATCAGCTGAATTAAATACAGCCAGTCTTTTTAATATGTCACATGCAGAACTATATATTCATTGGATTCCCATTTTTATTAATAGATATAACCTATAGCCATTTTAACTGACGTATTAAGGTCTATGTGGGTTTTTTTTTTTTAATTAGTGGGTTTAATTACAATTGCTGGGTGGAGAACTGCTTATTCCAGCCTTAACTAGATTTAGAATTAGGAAATAAAAAGTCTTACTGACTCACTGAAGAGTCAGCTGGGTACATTTTTATTCTGAATTCAAAGTAGGAATGAACCATAAACCAACCAAGAACTGCACGATAGTGAATCAGTATCAGTATCCTTGGATGAATGTGTGTGTGTGTGTGTGTGTGTGTGTAGGAGCAATTCTGTTACAGCAAATTGGCTGCAATAAGGAGTTTTAACATGAATGAAAGATTTCTGGAGAAGACCTGATGTGCAAAGGGGGAAAAAAGTAAGAGTTTAATAAAAATCATGTCATGGCAACCATTGAAAAGGCTGACAGCACATGAGTTAGAGAAAGGAATATTAAACATTTGGATTTTATGTTTTTGTTTTTGACTCTGGCATCACGAATTCACTTTGTAACATACTTAACATTCCAGAATATCAAGCCATTGATCTCTTCTCTTAAAAATCCTTTAGCAAATCATATGAATTAAATTACAAATATAGTTAAACACAAAGACATTACTAATGAATAGAAAGCAAATGTTCCATCAAGGAATGTAACATAGAATGCATTTTTTTGAAAAAATACTTTATTTATTTGAGAGAGAGAGAGAGTTTGAGCAGAGTGGTGGGGCAGAGGCAGAGGGAGAAGCAGACTCCCCAGTGAGCAGGGAGCCCCACGTGGGGATCAATCTCCAGCACCCCAGGATCATGACCTGAGCCAAAGGTAACCTGAGCTCAACCAACTAAGCCACCCAGGTGCCCTATGAAACGCATTTTTACAGCAAACTTGAGGAAACAGAATTTCGGGACAAGGCAGCGTATTAGTCATTCTTTCTAGTTCTGTGTTGTGAAGGTTTCATAATTATTCTTTCGGTCTTCATCCAAGTCTCAGATCCCGACTGCAGAGGCAGCAATAGCCACAGTCCTGGGGCACGCCCTCCGCCCCCAAGCCTGTACCCTTCAGGTCCTTGCCTCCCTCCCCCTGTGCTTTGGCTGCCTGGTGCTGTCCCACCCCATTTCACCTTTGTGGGGAACTCTTCAAGGATGCGAGGAGAGACCTCGTGAGGTTGCCTCATGGCCAAAGTAGCCCTCCCTCGGGGTGTTCCTTCCATTACTTTCTACAACCCCCCTGGACTGCACTTTTCACAGTGGTCATCAGGGTTTTCGTCCGCAGAACCCAGACTCCATGGTAAACACAGTCCACACTCATTCCTGACTCCCATCTGCTGTGTGCCAACACCGGCCTAACGCTGGTCTGTGTTAGATACAACATTTTAGAATTAAACAAGAGAGATGTGCTCTTTGGATTTTGGAGGCGTGCCATCTCCTGAGGAAGAGAGTCTTACGTAAACCAACAGGAGAAAAACAGGAGAGTGCAATTTATGTTAGGAAGCAAGAATCCAGGGTGCCAGGGGCTGGAACAGCGGGAGAGGCAGACTCTGACTGTGGCTTTAGCAGAGCTTCTCCGAGGAACCAGCATTTAACCTGAGGCCCAGTATGGCTAGAGTGATTCCAGTTACTCAGGCTTGAGTGAGACGCACCAGTGTGTGGGAAATGGGGTTGGAATGGCCAGGCCAAGGAGGTGGGATGGAAGAGAATCCAGGAGGCTCAGAGGCCACATTAGGGATTTTGTATTTTGTTTTAAGTGTAAACCATCGAAGGTTTTAAGCAGGAGATTAATGTGATTTGTGTACTTGAGTGCCTTGTGCTTACTAGTTAGTATTGAATATTTACACATAAACAAATGAGTTAAATACACACAATGAATCCCTGATACAGTTCTATGCCATTTCAGGGTTTTACCAACTCCAGGCAATTAGATTAATCTGATACAGCTTGTTCTTAGGAAACATAAAGTGGGAACTTGTTGACTTTCAGCCACTCACCATTCATTTTTCTCTTTCTAGCAACAGTTCGTTTTATTTTCGGTAACACATCTCTCCATTGTGTACAATCTTGGTGGCCAGCTGTCCCTTGGCCAAGAGGCAGGTTCCAATGCAATCCCTCTCCCAGGACTTAGCATCTTTAGCAGAGTCATCGATGGGGGGGTATGTTGAAGAACTTTGTTTCAGCCATGGCAAATTTTAAGGCACATATTCTGGGTTCCGGTGTGTGCCCAGCTTCCTTGGTTCCTGTCCCAGTTTCAAGACGGAGTCTCCAGTCTCTCATTTCTCTTCCCAGTAAAAGTCCCACCAGTTCATCCACTTTTTTTTTTTTTCTTAAAAAGGTCAGTGTTGGTTTCTGTCACTCGAAGAATCATAATGGAAGGAAAATCTATTTTAGTGTTAAGTGGAGATTGTATTTTGGTCTCAAGTTTTTAGAACGTTTCTTTGGATATGCAACTTGTTCATTTCCAATCTAATGGAAAGTTTAACCTTTTTTTTATTTCTCACAAATGATTTTCATAGTTGGAATGTATCTTCTGGGCTGAAAGATTTGAAATCTTTGAAAATAGTCAAGTTCTCTTTTTTCCCTTCAAAGACAAAACTAGTTTATTGGTGTAGTTTTGTCTTGGAAACCATTCTCTTTGCCTTCAAGACAGTTTTCCAAAATGCATTCCGCAAAATACTAGTGTCAATTATTACATAAATCTGGTTACAGTGAAGACTCTACCCTTCTCTTGGGGTCTCAAATGACACTGTAGCATCTTAAGCATAAAAAAATAAATCCTTCAGTAAAGAAATCGGAGTATTTTCCCAAATGTATCTGGTCATGCAAATGTTCTCCTGCAAAATGTACTAAAGAACTAGCATTTTGTGGAACCCACTTTGAGAAGTGCTGCTTTTGAAAATCAAAGCAAAAGTGAGGTTTTTTCATTTTCTTTGTGCCATCTGTTCCTGTTCCTTTGGCAGTAGGTTTATT